GCACTGAAGTACTACGCACAACTGCCTTGTGTCGCACTCTTCTTCTCCGTGCTTACCATCGAACCACACTCGGCGTCAGCGACAACACGCTGGCGCCGCGCTAAAACGGTTCTTCCCAAAACTACAAGCAACCTCGCGATTGCCGCAAAGTCTTTAACGAAACATCTATAGTAACTGGCAAAGCCTGAAAATGGCCTAAGCTCATACAGATTCGTCGGCTCTGGATACTCTTTTATTGCCTTTACCTTCTCTGGATCGGTTTTTGCACCGCCATTCGTTACAATAAATCCAAGGTATTCCACACTTTGCTTAAAGAAATGGGTCTTTTCACTGGACACCTTCATGTTGGCATTACTTAAGCTTTAAAACCCAATCAATATGCCTTACATGGTCTTTTTCATTTTCCGAAAAAATTATGACGTCGTCTACGTGAACATAGCACGGTGTGCCAGTTTGTTCCCGCAGGACGTCGTCGATCGCTCTCTGGAAGATGCTTCCAGCATTCTTCAAACCGAACGGCAGTTGACAAAATTCATATTTTCCGTCATTTACCGAGAAGGCGGTTTTCTCTCGGTCATGCTCTGCCAAATATATTTGGTGGTATCAGGATTTTAGATCCAGCGTTGTAAAATATTTTTGTCAACAACCCATTGTGGGTTATTGTAAGGCGATCTTGACACTCTGTTAATGCCCTTCTCGAGCAAATCTGCCATTTCCCGTTTCACGAACTCATTTACAGCCATGGGATGGGGGTACGGCTTGGAATATACCGGCTTGTCATCAGTTGTGCGAATCGTGGCAGCAACGGATGTGTTATATGGCAGGGCCTCATTAGAGGCTGAAAAAGCCTTAGATCTGTTCGTGATCATTTTTCGAAATTCGCTTTTCACAGGTTCCGGCACAGTAATGTCATTCACATTAGTGAAATTTACATTGTCACAATTATGATGCTGTAGCTCTTCAGAAACAGCACCATTATTTATTGCGCTTTTTTCTGTGTCCACCTGTGTCCAACTTGAGCTAAGAAATCGAAGCCAATAATGCCGTCGATGGGTGCTAAGGTGTCTAAAAGAAAAAAATCCGCTGTGGTTCCAAAAAAGTTCATCAAACATTTTTGGTGAATTCTGTTAGAACAATGAATGGAACTAACAGTGAACGTCTTTGGTCCGTCATGCGTGCAGATCCAAGTCTTTTTTGGCCTTGCATATTTTCGACCATGCCACTGGTGGGCAGATCGCTTCCGAAGGCGGTGGGTTGCCGGTGCTGAGTCATAGTGGAGCCTAACTCCATGGGTTCAGGCAATTGATTAGGGCCATCGTCCCTGTTATGGGCCGCATTACTTTGTTGGGGCCTATTTTGTTTTTTATAAAAATGAGGGTTTTTCACATGGCCATCCTCGGCCCTGTTACTTCTTCCCTGATTTTCGAACGACCTTGGTTCTTTCTTTACCCAGAGGCGAATGCCTTTTCTACCACTGCCTTTTGCATATGTGGCAGCAAAGGCAGTGCGTTCTATGCTCGCCTCGGATTCCCTAGCTAAAGCTAAAGCTGGGGGCAAATCCTTGGGCTGAGCTGGCAACACTAATGACCTCAAAGGCTTTCTGAGACCCGATATGAATGCATGTAGGGCATCGTCTCTAACCTTAGTATTAAATAGGGCAGCACTGTCCGGCTCCTGTGTCATGATGATTTTATTCGTCACCAATGTCAACTGTTTTTCTACCTCATCGTAATACTGCATCAGGCTAAGCTCTCCTTGCCTAACCGTCTCTAATCCCTATCGAGGGATACGCAATGACGTTTTATCTGCATAAGTGCAGTCTAGTCTTGCGATGATTGCACCGAATTTTAGCACAGTATTGTGGGATACCAGTAGCGCTCTCGCTACCCCCCTAATTTTATTCCTAATAATTGTGACAGCTTGGTAGTGGGCCTCGCTGCCCTGGTACGGTTTAAAAATTTCATATGCGTCGACGGCTAATTGCCGCCATGCCACATAAACATCTTGATCACCAGTAAACTCAGGCATGGACATTACTATGTCCAGCTTCACTTCGCACCTAATGCTCGGATCTATAGTGATCCTTTGATATGCCTCTACTTACGGTGTTTCCACCTGCAGGTCTTTCACTATTTGCCTGACCTTTTTTAACTGGGCCTGAAACGTCTCCATCAGCCTGGCCTCCTGGCTAACTGCTCCTGCTATGATTGCAACTGAATAGCGTCCATTTCAGTACCTCTATCCGTTGTCGGGCGAAAACCTGGTGCTTCTAAATCCCAATCGTCTTCACTATCGTATTCTGCCTTCACTTCCCTGTACTTGCCCAACTTATTTACCGAATGATTGGTAATTCACACAAATACTTTTTCCGGGCACCGTTGACCGGCTTTCGCGAGACGGCGATATTAATGCGCGCTAGAAATACAAGACGATGAAATTCGTTCCTTTTTTTTTTTTTAAACAACAGTTTTGCGCAAAAGAATAATTTGTTTCTATTTATTCTTCTGGGCAGTAATAACTCACAGTAACCTGGGGGGAGTTGCGGATTGAGCTTTCGAAGAGCAGCACGCACCTGATCATCGCTCGCGGTTATTAATATTTTCGCCACTAATCACCAGAGACAAGTCCACAATTAGTGGCACAATTAGTGCTTAGTGACATCTTGAGTCACTATCAGTGATAGTATCGTGCCAGTGCAGTGTTCTTAAAATTATCAAATTTAATTAAATTGTGCTCCGCTGTTCAGCGGCCACGTGCCGGCAAGCTTAACACAACATCCGTTGGAAAGCTTAACAAACATCTGTGAGGAGCTTACCATTTGGTTCCAGCAGCAGATAAGTTCTGGCTTATGTATCAGATAGAAGCTTTTAGTTTCTACTCTGCCCCAAGATCAATTGATATTGTTGCATACTTTTAGGCGCGCGATGAAATCCGGACAATTTGACAAGCCGCAGTCAACGACTACTAGTGCTACCAATAAGAACAAGGCAATTCTAGGAGAGGAACTTAGAAATGCCGTCAACGCGCCCTCAGATAATGATACTCTACGTGTATCCGATTTTGCCGCCACAGCAGCTTCATTGGCATCTGCTTTTTCGAGCGTCAATGGGTCCACATCAGGAACCGCCTCGCGCTACCAAAGCCCTGCTTCAGGTGAAGCCTCGCAGCGCTTTCAAACAATAAAGCGCAAGTCATGCGCCTCCCCAAAGACTGATGGGAAAAAAGCTAACCTCGGCAAGAACGGTGATAACCTCAATCGAACTATAGTGGCAGCTCAAACCGTTTCGAATTGCTAGCGCTTTACCCAGATGACATGGAAGTTGAGAACGCCAACGACGTGCTATGTGAGAGGCCTAGTACAAGTCATCAAGCTGCCATTGCTGCGGCGAAGCGGGCCGCAAACTCTCCTGGCACCTCAGGTTCTCCCAACAAGACGCAGCCCAAACCACCGCCCATAGTGATGGAAGGTATTGAAAACGTCTCTCTGCTCATGCAAGAACTCAGGAAAATAATTGACATAAATAAAGTTGAAGCTAGGGCTTCACTTGGCGGTATGATGAGACTCTATGCAAATGACGCTACCACTTTTCGCAGTATTGTCAGATGGCTTGAGCACGAAAAATATGAATTCCATTGCTACCAACTGAAGGAAGATAGGCCGTTTAAAGTCTGCATAAAAGGCTTACACCACAGCACGCTTCATAGCCAGATTAAGGAGGATCTGGAAAAATTCGGACACAAGGTGCTTGACGTCCATCTGCCCCAGAGGCGCAGTGAGCCAGGCACCCCTGTAGCCAAGCCGGTAAATATGTTCTTCGTGAATATTGCCGCCGCGGCCAATAATAAGGAGATCCTGCTAGTCAAGGCACTTTGCCATATGCGGGTTATCGTTGAGCCCCTCCGAAAGCGCAATGCTGTTGTGCAATGCCATCGATGCCAACAGTTTGGCCATACGGCTAAATACTGTCGTAAAGCGCATATTTGCGTCAAATGTGCTGGCGAGCACGCTGCCAGCAACTGTACTAGGCCGCGCAGTGAACCGTGCACGTGCTACAATTGCGGACAACAGCACCCTGCAAGCTATTCAGGGTGCCCCAAATACCAGGCGTTCCTGCAACGATCTCGGCCCAAGCGTGGAGTTGGAGCTCGGCCTACCGAAAAACTATGAATTTATTTGACACTTGAATAAATGCGGTTTTGCGGCAGCCAAAAACGAGGAAAAATGGTAGGAAATATATATTTTTCAAAATGGATTTGCCAGCAGCCAAAAGCCTCTTCCCTTGCGCCCGGCTGTCGACACACATGGTTGATATATAACCCATGTCGTGCTCTTGTTCCGCAGTTCGATTCACAGCGTTTCCTGATTTCCTTTCCCCTTAAGTCAGTCAGGATGTTCAGGGGATATCAAGGGTATTCCCGGCTGGCTGGGAGGCGTGTGTGTACTTAGCGTTTTGTAAAATGCCATTTTCTGGGCCCTCCCTAATTTATGAATGCCGCTTCAAGCCGGTAATTGTGATGTGCGAGTGTGGTGTTGTGTGTAGAGTGCACTCTTGGCGAACAAAGGACCACGACCAACGGGCAATGATGTCATCTGGGGTTGGGTTGCGGATTGCGGATTAGAAGGTGACTGACTCCAAGGATGCCTGGTGGCGAAATACACATCTAAATTATTTTCTACTTTGTCTTTAGCTTAAATGTGCATAAATCTGTTTTGCCAATGACTTCAGCCTTAATAATACAAAAATTAACAAAAAATAAAACGTTTACCGCGTTGACAAAAAGCTGTTGGTGCACATAAAATAGGCAATTTATATTGTTTTAGGCATTAAGTAGCTCAATCCATTAGCGACTTTCACATGTTCTAGCAAGCTAGCTGATCTTTTAGCCCAATGCCTTAATTGCGCAAATGCCTCGAAATCACGACCTTTCTCACCAATTTCCAGTGTAATCCAACCATATAAATGGATGTGCCTATTTAATTAAATCATTTCCAGGCCAACAGCTCATCAAACCATTAGGCAAACCATAATTGAATAGGCGAAAAGGTATTACGAACATTTCGGGGTATTTTTAACTGCAAGTCGAACATCTTTTAATAGCACTGACTTCTATAAATTCGAGCCATTTAAATTCATCGCCCTGTCCGGCGAAAAGTGTGCAATTTGCGCTGTTTCCACAGTCCGTTCCAGTGAGTCGACCGTATCGCACATACGAACTTTTTGCTGCAGCTGTCAATTAAAAATAAATAGTAAATAAATCGGCAAAATGTTCTGTGCCCTCACTTTCGTTGGCGTCTACGCCCTGTTGTCTTATCTGTACGAGCAGCTAAGAACGCCGTACAAGTTGCTCAAAGCCAGGTATTTCAGCGATACTAGGCCCACCATCAAGGAGCGTTTCGGAGATTGGGCCGCTGTCACGGGGGCCAGCGATGGAATTGGCAAGGAATACGCCAAGGAGCTGGCCCGCCAGAACATCAATGTGGTCCTGATCGCCAGAAACGAGGAGAAACTCCAGGCGGTTGCCAAGGAAATCGGTAAGTCAAGATTACCAAGGTGCGGAGATTAAAAATGTTAGCATGCTGCCAAATATGAGTTATCAATTATCGGTAAAAGATAATACAGTTGTAACATTTTCTTTTGTAATATTACCAGTAATTATACGAACAAACAAGTTCAATAGCTTTTTTGGTCAACTGCATTTATTGACTGTGGTTGTGATTGCTCCCGATAGATGGCTTTGTAACATATTGTAGCATATTTGCAACATAAAGACCATACATACATATATACCGATTGACATCTAACTTTAGTAAGTTATATTTATTATTTTCTTTTATTTTGTTTGGTTTTAGCGGAAAGCGGTGCTGATGTTCAGACTAAGATTGTGATAGCTGATTTTACAAAGGGATCGCAGGTCTATGAGCACATAGAAAAGCAAACCGCCAATATACCCATTTCTATACTTGGTAAGTAGCATTACTAAGTAGATCAGAACAGATTTATTTTACTACGATAAATAAACTTACCTTACCTTTATCGCAGTAAATAACGTTGGAGTCGGCAAGCCGTCATCAGTGCTGAAATGGAATCAGGAAGACACCCAAGAAATCATCGAAACCAACGTGGTGGCAGTTTCCCATCTGTCACGCATCTTCTTCCAGCGCATGAAGGCGTCCAAGATCAGGGGAGCCATTGTCAATGTGGGTTCCGGTTGGGAGCACCAGCCCCTGCCCTATGCCGCCTATTACGCCGCTTCGAAGGCGTACACCCGTAGTTTAACCCTGGCTTTGTGCCAGGAGGCGAAGCCGTATGGCATCCATGTGCAACTGCTGTCCCCTAACTTTGTGGTCACCAAGATCAATTCGTACTCCAGGAAGGTCATGAAGGGAGGTCTCTTCATCCCATCGGCTTCGGCTTATGCCAAGAGTGCGGTTAATCTCCTGCGCGACGAAGTGGACGAGACTACTGGTTACCTGTGGCACCAAGTCCAAAATGCTGTGGGCTCCGTCTTCACCTGGCGAGTGCGAACCTATGTAGCCTGTAAATTGTTCCCAAAAATATCCGACATAAAATAGCTCAAAATAAATAGTGTAAAAACCCCTTTGTGTCATCGACAGCTATTAAACCAGCCCATTTGAGGGCGCAGCATAACTATAGTTCGCTGAATCTAAATTTTTAGTACTAACAACATTAATAACATAAAACAAGAGAGAACGCCAAAGTCGAGCTTCCCGACTATCAGATACCCGTTACTCCGCTAGTGGAAGTGCAAACGAGTAATTTCAGTCTCAACAGACGGACATGGATCGACTCGGCTAGTGATCTACTCTTGATCGAAATATATAAATTAATTAGTTAAACACATATTTTGACACTAAAAATCATAGCACGGCTTTTGGCGGGTAAACGGGTTCGTACCTTCGCTAGAGAGTTTGCAAATTAATAACACTGTGTTGCAAAACGCGACTTTTATTTTATTATGTAGTAACCAATGATACTCAATTAAGAAAAATAATTAAGATTACAAAAGACAGACTACTGCCTTATGTGGAAGTAAAAGAAAGAAGCGCCAACTATTGCATTCGAATAGGTAAATCCTAAATCGAAATGTCGCCGTCCAACTACCATGGGTTCCACAATCTTTTTAGTAATCTCTTATCACCAGTCAAAAGTTTTCTCATTCGGACTATGTTAAGCAGTTCTTAAATGAAGCAATTATATTTTGTAAACGATGGCCCTTATATTGCAAGTGATTTCTGCGGGAATCTACATAGTGGGTTCCCTTCCTTAGCATTATCAAGGCTGTCCTAGAATCTATTTAATTTGACCATTTCCAGGCCAACAGCACATCAAACCATTAGGCAAACCATAATTGAATATACGAAAAGGTATTACGAACAAAATACAATCTTTTCTTGTATTCTTAACGGCAAGTCGAACACCTATTGATAGCACCGACTTCAATTAATTCGAGCCATTTAAATTCATCGCCCTGCCCGGCGAAAACTGTGCAATTTGCGCTGTGACCACAGTCCGTTCCAGTGAGTCGACCGTATCGCACATACGAACTTTTTGCTGCAGCCGTCGACTAAAAATAAATAGTAAATAAATCGGCAAAATGTTCTGTGCCCTATCAACGTTCTTCACTTTCGTTGGCGTCTACGCCCTGTTGTCTTATCTGTACGAGCAGCTAAGAACGCCGTACAAGTTGCTCAAAGCCAGGTATTTCAGCGATACTAGGCCCACCATCAAGGAGCGTTTCGGAGATTGGGCCGCTGTCACGGGGGCCAGCGATGGAATTGGCAAGGAATACGCCAAGGAGCTGGCCCGCCAGAACATCAATGTGGTCCTGATCGCCAGAAACGAGGAGAAACTCCAGGCGGTTGCCAAGGAAATCGGTAAGTCAAGAGGTGAGGAGATTAAAATTGTTAGCATACTGCCAAATATGAGTTATCAACGCTGTGACTACACACTTTTTGATCGTTTTTATAATCGGTAGAAGATAATACAATTGTAACACTTTATTATGTAATATTACCAGTAATTATACGAACAAGTTCAATAGCTTTTTTGGTCAACTGCATTTATTGACTGTGGTTGTGATTGCTCCCGATAGATGGCTAATTGTAACATATTTGATAAAACAACTTGACATTTTTAAAGAGCACGCAAAGCACTTGTCAAAACTATGATTGAAAGTCATGCAATTTTTATTTTTTGATACATATATGCCGATTGACATCTAGTAAGTGTTATTTTTTGTTTCTTTATTTTGTTTGGTTTTAGCGGAAAGCGGTGCTGGTGTTCAAACTAAGATTGTGATAGCGGATTTTACCAAGGGCTCGCAGGTCTATGAGCACATAGAAAAGGAAACGGCCAATATACCCATTTCTATACTTGGTAAGTAGCATTACTAAACAGGTACTATACAAGGACATCAAAACTGATTTATTTTACTTGGATAAATAAACTTACCTTATCGCAGTAAACAACGTTGGAGTCGGCAAGCCGGCATCATTGCTGAAATGGAATCAGGAAAACACCCAAGAAATCATCGACACCAACGTGGTAGCCGTTTCCCATCTGTCTCGCATCTTCTTCCAGCGCATGAAGTCGTCCAAGATCAGGGGAGCCATTGTCAATGTAAGTTCCGGTACGGAACTGCAGCCCCTTCCCTATGCCGCCTATTACGCCGCCTCGAAGGCGTACACCCGTAGTTTGACCCTTGCTTTGTGCCAGGAGGCGAAGCCGTATGGCATCCATGTGCAACTGCTGTCCCCGAACTTTGTGGTCACCAAGATCAATTCGTACTCCAAACAGATCATGAAGGGCGGTCTCTTGATCCCATCGGCTTCGGCCTATGCCAAGAGTGCGGTTAATCAGCTGCGCGACGAAGTGGACGAGACTTCTGGTTACCTGTGGCACCAAGTCCAAAATGCTGTGGGCTCCGTCTTCACCTGGCGAGTGCGAACCTACGTCGCCTGTAAATTGTTCACAAAAATATCCAACAAAAAATAATTCAAGGAGCATTTTAAAGCTTTACAAATGTAGACCACCAAAAAAATATATACATATAATATTAAAAGTCCTTTGATGTCAGTAATATGCTTAGAAAGAGTGAGTCTATGATCCAGAGTTATTCCAAGGTACTTAGCATGTTTGGCTCTATATAGACGGCTGGTGGCGTGTTCCACTTACAAACTGCGAATCGCCTTCCTTCCAGATATGACTTGAGCAAACCGAAATATATAAATTAATTAAAAACTCATATTTTTCCACAAAAATCATAGCACTCCTTTTGGAGCTTTTTTTTTGAGTCTTCAGCGGGTTCGCAGCTTCGCTAGTTTGCAAATAATATTACAGTGTTGCAAAATGTCCCTTTTATTTTTCAATAAAGAAAAATAATTAACCGTTATAGAGACCGACTATTGCCTTTTATGGAAGTAAGAGAAGGAAAATGCAACCCAATCTACATATGTATTGGGTTCCCTTAGCATCGTCGGTTTTCTCCACGACAACTTAAAGTCCTTATTCAGCATCATCAAGGCTGTACTAGCACCATACCTCCGGCCGAATCTAACAAAGAAAGAGAAAAGAGGAAAAATTCGGCTGAAGGGCAGGTGAGTATTTTGAGCTAATGATATTATAAATTAAATTAAAATCTTATAAATTATACATTTTGAACCGATTAATACTGAGAGCTACTGATACTGACGGAGAGACGGACAGACATGGCCAGATCGACTCGGCTATTGATCCTCATCAGGATATGTATATACATACTTTATTTGGTCGCTTCCTTTACCTGTTACATGATTTTCAAGGAACCTATTATACCGTTTTATTCTAGCTTTATTTTTATTATACTAAAAACAAACCAAAATTAAATTTTAGAAACCGTTGACAAAAAGCTGTTGATATACACAAAATGTGCAATTTCTATTCTTTTATGCATTAAATAGCTTAATACATAAGGCCAATAGCAAGGCAAACCATTAGGCAAACCATAATTTAATAGGCGATAAGTTTTACGAACAAAATACAATCTTTCGGTGTATTTTTAACGGCAAGTTGAACACCTTCTGATAGCACTATTAGTTCGAACCATTTAAATTCTTCGCCCTGCCCGGCGGAAACCGAGCAATTAGCTCTGTGACCACAGTCCCTTCCAGTGAGTCGACCGTATCGCACACACGTTCTTTCTGCTGCAGCCGTCGATTAAAAATAAATAGTAAACAATTCGGCAAAATGTTCTGTGCCCTATCAACGTTCCTTACTTTGGTTGGCGTTTATGCCCTTGCCTCTTATCTCTACGAGCAGCTAAGAACGCCGTACAAGTTGCTCAAAGCCAGGTATTTCAGCGATACTAGGCCCACCATCAAGGAGCGTTTCGGAGATTGGGCCGCTGTCACGGGGGCCAGCGATGGAATTGGCAAGGAATACGCCAAGGAGCTGGCCCGCCAGAACATCAATGTGGTCCTGATCGCCAGAAACGAGGAGAAACTCCAGGCGGTTGCCAAGGAAATCGGTAAGTCAAGATTACGAAGGTGCGGAGATTAAAATTGTTAGCATACTGCCAAATATGAGTTATCAACGCTGTGACTACACACTTTTTGATCGCTTTTATAATCGGTCGAAGATAATACAATTGTTACACTTTATTATGCAATATTGCCAGCAATACGAACAAACAAATTCAACTGCATTTATTGACTATGATTGGTTGTGATTGCTCCCGATAGATGGCTTTGTAACATATTTGTTAAAACAACTTGACATTTTTAATGAACACGCAAAGCACTTGTCGAAACTATGATTGAAAGTCGTGCAATTTTTATTTGTTGATACATATATGCCGATTGACATATTTTGTTTGGTTTTAGCGGAAAGCGGTGCTGGTATTCAGATTAAGATTGTGATAGCTGATTTTACCAAGGGATCGCAGGTCTATGAGCACATAGAAAAGGAAACGGCCAATATACCCATTTCTATACTTGGTAAGTAGCATTAACTAAACTGATAGATCAGAACGGATAAATAAACTCACTTATCGCAGTAAACAACGTTGGAGCTGGCACGCCGACAGCCGTGCTGGATCACAGCCAGGAAGACATCCAAAGCATCATCGAAACCAACGTGGTGGCCGTTTCCCATCTGTCTCGCATCTTCTTCCAGCGCATGAAGGCATCCAAGATCAAGGGAGCCATTGTCAATGTGGGTTCCGGTTCAGAACTACAGCCCATGCCCTATGATGCCTATTACGCCGCCACGAAGGCGTACACCCGTAGCCTAACCCTGGCTTTAAGCCAGGAGGCGAAGCCGTATGGCATCCATGTGCAACTTCTGTCCCCGAACTTTGTGGTCACCAAGATCAATTCGTACTCCAAACAGATCATGAAGGGCGGTCTCTTGATCCCATCTGCTTCAGCTTATGCCAAGAGTGCGGTTAATCAGCTGCGCGACGAAGTGGACGAGACTTCTGGCTACTTCTGGCACCAAGTCCAAAATGCTGTGGCCACCGCCTTCACCTGGCGAGTGCGAACCTACGTCGCCTGCAAATTATTCACATAAATATCCGACACTATAAAGCTGAAGTATTTTAAAGCTACACAAATACAGATGACGAACCAATAAAATATATTAAACAGTGCAAAAAAATTAAATGTTATTTTGACATTGGTTAAGTTAAATACAATTTTTGATTTAATTATTATTAAGCCATACTGGGAAATCCAACTACTACCCTTGCAATACTAACTTTTACTTTGTAGTATTACTTTGTTTCATTCATAACATTCTAACGTAAAACAAGAGAGAACGCCTAAGTCGAGCTCCCCGACTATCAGATACCCGTTACTCCGATAGTGGGAGTGCGAACGAGAAATTTCAGTCTCGACAGACGGACATGTGACTCGGCTAGTGATCCTGATCAGGAATATATATATATATAGGATCGAAAAAGCTATTAATTAACAATTAAGAATCCTCAAAGAAGATCGGAGAATTTTGGTGTTTCGCAGAATATCCTATATCACAATATCCATGTGCAGCTGGTAATACTAAATGTTGTGGTCACCAATATGAACGCCTATTAAGATAGAAAGGGACAAGGAGGACTGATTTTCCGCAACTGATTTATTCCCAATATTAAACAGTGGAAATTATATTTTATATATTTATGTTATTTTGAAAATAAAATGTAGTAGACTTTTTGACGGGTGCATGTATTGGCATTGGTTCGTGACTTTGCTAAGCACCGTGCCAAATTTTCAAGTTGAAAGATTTCCTTACGCTTTCTGTTGTTTAATGTGTTAATACATTTAGATAGAAGAGAACTTTCCGTATTATAAAAAAAAAAATGTAAAGTATTTTTGTTCGCATTTAAAACAATTGCTTGTGCTATTAGGCATTTGTGCACAGAAGGCATAACACAATAAAACTCATTTTAGCTTATAAACTGCTAAAACGACAACACATTTGGGAAAAGCTTATGGACTTCCTAGTTGAACTTTTCCAGCCTGGTTCCTCAGTTTGGAATTCATATTCGGCTGGACAGGAGGCAGCCGACAGCCCTTTACTTATATAGTATCGATTTATATTTATTGCGTTTGAAAACTTTTACTGTTTTGCTCGTTGACAGCATGTAAGTTTTATAGGTCGTCTCCAAAACAATGATATATATTTCGGATTGTGGAACCTTGGTTTTAATTGAATAATCGAGCTTTTTATTTACCTCTTAAAAGTATTTCGGCATTTTCGAGCGAGCAACAAGTGGAACATTAAATTTTGTGAGCGTTGACCAAAATGACCTTTTCACTGACACATCTATCTTTCCGATATAGGCGGTAATCAAATTTGATTTAGCATGCCATCAAATAAAATTATCAGACCATTGAATAAAAAGCCATTAAGTACCATTCATAATTCTCGTTAGTTTTTCACCCTTTAGTAGTTGCTGGGACATTTCCGATAGTCATTTACCTCTATTACAGTCTTCATCTATATTTTTACTTAATTGCCATATGCATTAGTTAGGCCTTTGCCCAAATTACCACCGATTACCAAGTTTTTGAATGCTTTTCGGAGGAAATAGTGTTTAATACTTTGATGCAAAGTTAAGTTTTTTTTGTGACCCAAAAGTACACTGATGCACTTTTGCTTGCTTGTAGGGAAATGATTTTTCCTCTGCTGATAAGCGCAACTTAGGCTGTTGTAAAAGATAGTGAAGAAAACTGTATTATACATTTTTCTTAACTAGAGGCAGAGCATGTAAAACATCGTCTAGCAATCTAGCAATCTGTGAAAAATGCGAAAGCAACAAAAGTACGATTCGTTAGAGAAACAGCTGAATCAAATGAATAACAACTACCTTTCAATACTTAAATATTTTATAGCTAAGTGTTGAAAATGCAATTAAAATTCATATCCCACACTATAGTTTTTGCACAAAAAAATGCTTAAGGGTAAACACTTGCAAAAGAGGGAAACACAAACCCCTTTAGTAAGTTGTCATAATTGAATGCAGTAATTACATTTTCGAAAACTGTGTTACTCCTACAGCATTTAGCCACATGCAAAAGGAAATACAGGTAAAGGAAAATCTGTACAAATGAAATGCTTCAGATGACAGGGGTCATTGCATGACAAAAGACAATTTAACGCATCTTTCGCCTAATTGTTTGCAATTAGTTCTACAGCACTAGTAAGCTGATTATGCGCTTAGCAAAAATTTTAAAATTACGACAGTTATTTTAAGTTAGGCAGAGGGTCACTTCTTTAGCGGCAATTAGGTGTCGAATAATTCACTGCCACCCAGACACGTAGTTTTTCAACACCTGTAGGCCGCCGTAAAAGGCAACAAATTAAATTTACAATTTTATGAAATAATGAACCGACAAAGAGCTGAGTAAAACCGCGGAAAAGAGCCCCAACTGCAGTGGCCTTTCCGCTTTAAGTCGCTGATATTCACTTTACAACTGTTGCTTGTTGAAGACCAGATCCGAAACTGAAAATCCGAAACCGAAAGCCCGAAATAACGAAGTTGCGGCTCCAAGTTTTCAGTGCGTGATCGGCGCTCCAACCTGCAACTTGTGCCCCCGGAAAAAGAGGCAGACAGACAGCGCGATAGTACGAAAGTCGGCGATTATACATACTCGTACATATGTCGGCATAATAGTAATTCTCAAAAAAAAGCAGTAAATAATCAGCACGACCGAGTAGTGATAAGAACAAGTTCCACAATACCAGCCGAAATTCTGCCAATTGCGACTATTTAAGACGAACTCTCTTAACCATGCAGCCAGTTCTGGAAGTGAGCATTTACACCCTGCTGAAGATGGCGTTCATTTGGCAGCTCATCTCGGCGGCAATCTACCTAGTGGGATTGCTCTCCATCGGCGTATTTCTGTACGACAACCTCAAGTCCTTGGTCAGCATAATCAAGGCCATCCTGGAACCCTACTTCCAGCCGCACTTACCAAAGACATTGGTGGAAAAGTTCGGACAATGGGCAGGTGAGTGTTCGATCGATTCCACTGAGTACAGCTCTATTCGCCAAATGCTTCCATGTTATTCAATCCGGTATTTGCATACTTTAACCCTAGGGGTCTGTCAATATTTGAGTCTTGCGTTTTTGGTTCCTTCACTTCGCAAATGCAAATTGTTTACGTTATCTCTTAGGGGAGTGTTTTTGCTATCACACTGAACGGAGAACCATTAGTTATTTTACTGCTGTATATTTAAAAAAAAAAAAAGTTTTTAGCTGTATATTATAAAACGGCCTAATAATTCTATAAAGCACATTATAAGTAGGCTTAATTCGGGGTATTGTGACTTCCTTTTTACGTGTTGAAGTACCTATATTTTGATTTCTGATCAATTAAATTAATGTTTTATACGGTAAAACAACCTTATGTACTACACTAACAAGCTTATAGGATAATAAATCTTCGAACGACAGAAACTGATATGCGATACTATAGTTGGCAAGTTTCGGGAAAACAGTTACAAAATCCACTTGTGATAAGATAAGAAACCAGTGGACATTATGAATTTCCATAATTATTTATACCGACAGAACGAACATAATGGCATTTCTTATCTGAGTGTTCGCTTGTATTGCAGATGGTTGCTTTTAGTTAAGCTGAGATATTAATGAATTCAAACATTTGTGAATCATAATAATTATCATTATTTTTAAAAGAAGCGAATAAACAGTAAGCCATTCATATTAAATTAATTACTTAGAATATTCACTCACTCAATTACAATTCCCTTTGAAAATTCCCAAATTCGCATTCATTCAATTGAATGTTATTCACAATCTTCCTAAAGAGTAAGTAAAGTTATTGACCAATAACTAAATTATTCAAACAACTTGATTTGTTTACAATTTCGTTTATGGACCACACAAAGTCATTCAACTCGTAAACCGGCTGGCGATTTTCCGGCTTGCTTCGCTTTTTGCGATCGCTTTGTTTTTGCCTTACTATCTAATTAATTCCAATTCATTGACTAGAGGCTCGTGCTGCTCTTCGTGGTCACTCAGTTATAAATTTGACTGCCGCTTCTCGAGTTTATTGCTCAATTACAGCATACAGTTTTCCTAATTGAATTATGCGTTCTATCCAACTGATCAAAGTGCAAATTCTTTGCCAAACTATAGCAGTCGTAATTTCCACGCAACACGCAAACGCAACCATCGATTGGTGTTGCCAACGTACTCCTAAGTTTGGCTGCCGTGCTTCACGTTTCCGTTGCACAAATATTTGGCAACCAATAACCAGCTGCCAGTGGCAACATTGCAGCAATTGCCACCACGCCAGCCGGTTTGCTTCTAATCGCTTCTCTGCGGCCGCTTCCATTCATGATATTTGCTGAGGTTTCGACAACCGACAACCGACAACCGGCGATGTAATTTAAAGAGACTCGGCCGAATGCAGTGGGTTAATTAGCAGCCAAATGCTAGATTCGAAAAGGTCTTTCAAGGAGGTCGTGGCATTATTCAGTTGCTAAAAGTATAGGTACACAGCGGCAAGTGACGAAATGGGTCTAGTAAAATAAATAGTTTAGTTTAATATGTATTCAGCTCTTCATATGGAATCAACGCAACTTGGACAGCCGAAGCAGATACATTTATTTTTAGATAAAGATATATCTAAAAAATGTTATATACAGAACAATATTTTCAATTAGTTTTTCGACTGGTTCGAGGCGGATATTATCTATAGTCATCCGTTTATAACGACTATACTATCGTCTTGGCTGTTAGTAATCAGAAAATCACCAACCCACCGACTGCAAATGTATTAAATTTTCAACTAAAAACTTCTGTACTGTTCTCGAAGTAGCAAAGTATTGCATACATATATTATATCGTGTAGTTAGTACCCAGTAAATTAAAAAATATGGTTCCCTTTCGGCGACCTTCGTACTCATCCAGTTTCCGTTCGATTCCTTTCACTTAGTGGTGACTGGCGCCACCGATGGCATTGGAAAGGAGTATGCCAGGGAGCTGGCTCGACAGGGTATCAACCTGGTGCTCATCTCGCGGACGAAGGAGAAGCTTATTGCGGTGAGCAATGAGATTGGTAAGCATGTCTAAGCATGATTGGTAGTACATGTTTTAATTTCATTTCGTTACTCTTTCGCAGAGAGCCAGCACAAAGTGAAGACCAAGTGGATTGCAGTGGATTTCTGCAGGGGACGCGAGGTGTACGATCAGATCGAAAAGGAACTGGCGGGCATTGACGTGGGCATTTTGGGTGAGTAATTAAGTGACCTGTGCACTTACTCCAGTTAGCAGCGGTTTTCTTATCCGATGTGGTACCCATTCATACATTCATCATTGCCAACAGCAGCAGCTGCTTACTTACGCTTCATATTTTGTGACTATTTTTGTTGCGCGGCTGCCAATGTCAAACAATAATAATTGCGTGCAATTACAATGACTCTGGTTTTTGGTCTATTGGCGAGGCGAAGAGTGGCTTAGGCGATGTTCAAGTACGCAGGCGAAGCGCTGCTGTTGGGGCTTTATTTTTATTTGGAAAACCAGACTCATATAAACGCTTCAGCAATTTACATTTCGACAGCCTTGCGAACCCCTCAAGGCAGCTTAATAAAATGTTTGGCTGATAAGATGTGACATTGATCTTGGCCAGCGGAATTTAATGCCACTGCCATTTGATATGGAGTTGTTATAAATATTGTGCTACCATTATGGCCATGCTTGAACTATTACTATTATTCGTTTTTATAGTCAACAACGTGGGTATGATGTACGAGCATCCGGAGAGCCTTGACCTTGTGTCAGAGGATCTACTTTGGAACCTGCTCACCGTCAACATGGGATCGGTCACCATGCTCACCCGCAAGATCCTGCCCCAGATGATTGGTCGCCGAAAGGGAGCCATTGTCAACCTGGGGTCCTCCTCCGAGCTCCAGCCACTGCCCAACATGACCGTCTATGCGGCGAGCAAGAAGTTTGTTACCTACTTTTCCAAGGCCCTCGAACTGGAGGTGGCGGAGCACAACATCCACGTGCAGCTGGTGATGCCCAACTTTGTGGTCACCAAAATGAATGCCTACGCCGATCGCGTAATGCAGGGTGGTCTGTTCTTCCCGAACGCATATACTTTTGCCCGGTCCGCCGTATTTACACTGGGAAAAACGAGCGAGACCAACGGCTTCTGGACCCATGGAATTCAGGTCAGCGATTTACCGACTAAGCAAAATGCAATACACTTTGTAACAAGTTGTTTCATGCTTTAAAATTCATTTTTAAACATTTTTTTACAGTATGCCTTTATGAAACTGGCTCCCCTGCCGATCCGCACATTCTTGGGCCACCAACTCTTCAAGCGACTGAGAATCGAGGCGCTCGAGCAAAAGCAAAAGAAACTGAAGCTTACTTAAGTTGTTAAGCTAGGTTAGGAGTCATGTAAATATTTGGTTCTTAGTCATAAGGCTTAAACTATTAGCTAGAGGAAAAAACTTTTGTACAAAGCCATGAAAAAATTGAAAATGTAAAACAAAAGATAAAAGACACGTCCAAAAACCGGCTGGCAAACTCAATTGCCAAAATGCACTGCCGGATTGCATAAGCGCTGCAATTTGGCCAAGGAGTGGAGGGGCTTGGGCTTCGAACGGTTTTAGCCGTGAAACCGGTTGGCCAGCGCGCGAAACTGCTGACCGACAAAATTGCAAAGTGGCCTACTGCAGTCGGAAGCCGCCAGAAGACCAACGATGACTGGGTATCCGCTTCATTGCCTGCACTTTCTGCTTGTTTTACCATTTGTATAAAAGGGTATACTACATATGTTGAAAAGTATGTTACAAGCAGAGGGAATCTCGAGAGCTGTAAAAGCCTAAAAGTAGATACTAGATACATGCAATCTGTAAACACGTTTATTTTTTTTCGTTTTATTTATTGTACCGAAATCTTTTTAGCAATCCTACTACAATCCTTCTTAGTAGGGGGTATCTGATAGGCGAGCAAATCTACTATTGCATTGTTTGTCTCTCTCGTTTTGTTTAAAGGCCTCAATTTGCATGACACATGCAAAAGAAGTTAAAGTACTGAAGATCTATCGAAGAGCTGCCCACAATTATACAATTGCAACTTTGAACGAACATTTTTCGCTGCAATATTGACGATACTAGCATTTTATTATTATAGCATTGAGAACACCATATATCTTCCTCTAGGGGCAATCCATTCCTGTTAGTCTTCACACCTCAAAGTTCGCTGTGCTTCTTTTTTCCGAAACTTGTGACAATCGCCCGACTCACCAAACATCGAACACCGATTCAGAATGTTGGTTTAACTGGGTATTTTGTGGAATGTTTGAGCGAACACTCCTCGCTGCAATATAATTACCATATGAGCTATTTGCTATTATAACATTGTGAACACCAAAGCTTACCAATATCTTATGACACATTCTCTACGGGCAATCCATTTCTGGTAGTCTTCATAACTCAAAGTTTGCTTTGCTTCTATTTTCCGACACTTGTGACATTTTGCCCGACTCACAAAACGTTGTTGTTTAAAAGGCTGATTTATCTGGGGAGTTTGTGGAATTGGAGGCGGAGTGGGCACTCTTTGCATTTTCCCCTGATCTGCATTTTCCTCGTGGTTTTCCATCTTACACAGACGTCTGCTCCGCAGCTCAGTCGGCTCTTTAATGAACTTACTCCTAGTTTCAGTTTCCCTGAACTGCAGTGATAATACTGACGGCTGATTCACCGAAGCTGATGAAATAGCCAATGTGGAATGACTTTTGCGAATCAACAGTCCGGTTGCTTTAATAACAAGTAGTTTTCAGAGTACAGGTCAATAAAATTGCACATCGATTGGTTATTAATAAACGGATTTATGAGATGAGACTCTAGTAACCAACGCCCTCTAATGTTCATCCAATGAACTACACACACAAATATGGTTGCTTAGCTGGAATTGAGTTTATTTGTTTATTAGTGTAGTTCCATACCGCCCAAAAGCAGTAGTAATCAAAAAAAAAAAAAAACGGAAAGGATCAAATTACCTTGGTTATAGGAGATTTCCCCTATTCCTTTCATCATCTCAAATCTATGTACATATTGAATTACAAACTTCTTCTCACTGTTCATTGGCATACGTTTGTATGCCATATTGTTTAATTTCGTGATTAGAAGTCCCAAGAAGCGGAAGCTAAAAGTTTCTTTGCTTATATACATAAGCATTTACGTTTAATATACATTTAATGAAATGTATGTACACATGTATGTAACTAATCCAGCTTCCAAGTACTGGACTGTACCACAAGGTTTACGTCAGCAAAAAACCATTATCATTAAAAACCCCAAGAGTATATGTCGTGAGAGAACCGGGGTGCCCTCAGAAATTTGTGAAGACTATTAATATTATTCGCATATACATATGTACATACGTATTCGTCAACGTGAGCCTTTGGTTCCACGAAAAACTATAGATATCAAAGTTTATTTTTATTTTATTTCACATGGTATCAGACGCTTTTCGATTCTCACATTCATATAGCATTTTTATTTATTTATTTTAAAAAGTAAGCCAATGTAAAAATTATGTTCAATTAAGCTGAATACGAGTTGTGTATTTCTAAGTGTCCGTGCAAAATAGGATCCCATAGACCATTTATAAGTGGTGCAAGTACAAAGTGGGATCCATCCCTGTGGTAACTAGCGTTCGAATAGCACTCCTAGTTCTTGTAGGTGCCCACGTAGGCTCCGCAGCTGGTGCAGGTGTGTTTGGCCGACTGGCAGGAGTCGGTGCAGTAGGGAATGCAGCAGCAGCAAATGCCCCTGGAAATGTCCATTAGTTCCGTTGGCAGGAGGAGCAAACGTGATGCACTTACCCCAGCATGCAGATGAGGAGGGCCAGCAGATGGGTCTTGGTGCTGGGCTCGAATTCCACCTTCGTCTCCCGGCGGACACCGCAGCTCGGACAGGTGGCCATGGATGGTACGCCGCCCAGTACATTGGGTGGGACTAGAAAAAGCACAAAAGGTCTTTGTATAATATTGGATTCACGGAAGATTGTTACGGCTCGCGAGGCTCCAAAGAATTGGCAACTATTTGCGATTGATTATCAGTTCTTGGTATTCACCCTGTATCATTTGTGGCTGATTCATCTGGCCATAAGCCTGCGAGGTGTTATCATAACTGGGCGGGCCCGGGAAAGCAGGAGCCTGAGGCTGAAAATTCTTCTCCATTCTTGGTACTTATTGCGACCGATGTGTGCTGCGCGCTCGAGTTCCAGTTCGCAACTGAAACCCAAGCGAGCTCCTCCAACTGAGACATTCAGTTCGCTCGGCAACTAAGCTCATGCGAGAGGGGTGCCGGCGATTGTATGTAGTCTTTTGGCTTGCTAAGTGTTTTTCGTCAAATATTATGTGTCGATTAGAGAATTGGCTTTTGTATGTGTTTTTCGGAGCAGCTTTAGATACAAATTGCGACTCAGCTCAGCCATTAATCAATTAATATCAATAGCTGGCAATAAGAACGAAATTTGAATATTCGTCTACCCGTTAGTAGAGTATTTCATTGTCACATAGACAAGCCTGTTGCTTTTTCCCATGTATCTACATATTTATTAACGGCACAAGAATGCTGTACTCTGCTCAAGAATTGCGTTGTCCCCGACTCAAACCAACCCGCAAGGAAAACCACTCGTCTTCCTCATTGAACCCTTTTATTGCTGAGGATGAAAAGCATTAGCTGGTACTACAATGTTTAGCGTGTTATCAAAATATTGCGCGGTAATAAGTGTGAGAGGGGTGACAATACTTTAAGTGGGAGAAGTAATGGGCTGCATTTCGGGACAGATGCTGGCTGCAGTCCACGTAAAAAACAACTTCCGGCGGAAACTCCTCAACGCTTGTAGGTGCCAATGTAGGCGTTGCAGGATGGGCAGTGGTGTTCCGAGTTCCGGGCGCATCGGGTGCAGTACAGACAGCACGCACAGGGCCAAAGGCTGCAAGACAGGGATCATACCATAAAAATCTACTAAATGCAACATATGCATGGCAAATAACATGGCAGTTGCTTTTGGGATAGCTTGGCTTACCACGTGAAGCACAAAATCAGTGCTATCAGGTGAGTCTTTTTGGTGGCTTTCGGCTCCACGCGAGTGGTAACCTGCTGGCGGCAACTGGGGCAGACCATGTTGCACGGTTCCGGGCCGACGGGAGTGGACATTGGTGACACTGTTGGAACTGCAGAAAGAAAGCACAGGAAGCTCTAATAACTCTCATATCGATTGCAGCGGAGGCCTTGAAAACTTGAATACGTCGCGTGCCGCTGGTACATGAGCATTAAATTGGCTGCTTAATGGCAATTCTAATTGCACACCCGCCATGCAAACAAGCTGTGATCAGCCTTATCTCCCGTCAATTACTCCACGGTGCTGCGCAATCGCTCCTGGCGCTGTGAGGTCATCCTCGCGGGCCACCGAAACTCCTAGCGATGCCGTCATCGCACAACCGCGTCTGTCTGTGCCCCCTTCCTCCCCCATTCCATCCGTCATCGCTCCTCGCCACTTGGTACTTGCCGAATATGCTTGCCCGTTCTAGCCCTGCCCAAAATCAACACAATCTATTTATGTATACTCTCACTTGCTCACACCACCTAGCACAGTATCCTCATTTATCAGCGTGTGTGTCCGGAGCCAGTGATTGGCACTCCCCCCGGAGTCCTGGTGGCGTCCTGCGTGGCCTTGCCCAGTTTTCCCCGAGCAAAAGTAAACTTTTTTGGGAGCGGCAAGGCAGCGGCAATCATCTTGAAGGCGTTGTCACTTTGCCTACATGGGTATTATTTCACCAGATATTTTTATGATTAGCCAATTAGACCTGTTTGTCCCAATCCCAAGCCTGAATAATATATACATACATACATATGTATTTCCCGGTATACTTACAATCTGTCTCGTCGAAATAATTGAAATAAAACTATGATTCCACAGCTAATGCGCACTGCTTGAGCTGCAAAAGAATTGTGCGGCTAAAAATTTTTGGGCGGAAACTATCATCGCTAGGAACATCCTGCTAAGCAACAGCATGTTGCTATCCAAGTAGCGATTTAAATATATCAACTTTTGAAATTGATTCAGCCGTATCAGCCCATTACTTAAGAATTGTACATTTAACAAAAATGCAAAATGGGAGAGTACTTCGATAATTCAATTTATAAAAATGAGCAGGAACTTTATGAGCATCTAAGCAGAAGTCTTAATCACATAATTTATAATCACATAAATATAGTATTGTTTTAAGACATCAATTTCAAAACCATGTCAACATGTCGGTTGGCCTAGCAACATGGATTTTTACCGGTTCAAACAATTTCGTATCAACATTTGCTGCCGGAAACATAGGTATTGTTTCTATACATGTTTTAGGAAAAGACCGCCACAAAGTAGACGAAAACAAAGATGTGCATATATGTATATATGTGAATCCAAGCTTCCAATTCGAATACATATTTATATGTATTCCCTATACCTAAAGCAAAAATATTATTTTTCTTGCAACCACCAAGTTTAATAAATGTTGGCTCAGCAATGTAGCCAGATACGTAGAAAGAAAAAAAATAAAAGGGTAATACCAGAAAACGATTCGCTTTATTTTTTTATTTCATTTGCTTTGCGGATTCTTTGTCGTTTGTAAACAAATATGTACATATTAGAATATATGTATGATAAGTTTTAGTGATAAAGCCATTTTGACGGCGTCGATGTACAAAGAGAGGGGAAATATACTACATGCATTTATTGCTTACAAAGCACGATCGGCGATTACTCATAGCTTTTCCTGGCAGTGTAATCAAAACAACTGCGGTCACAAATATAGCGGACTGCTCAAACATTTACTTTGATAAAAAGCTACATATATGTACGTGTACAATTTTATATAAATATTATATACATATTTTGTATAGCATATAGCTGTATGTACATATGTATATTGCAGCGTTATATGTAGTACCTTTATTGCGATGGTTGTGAGCATAACTCTGAAAGCTCCATGTACTTACAGCTCCGGGCGTTGCAGTGGGGGCAGATCATTCCTGCAGGTGCGTCTCCACCGGAGGCGCGGTGGCGAAGTCATCAAAATAGGCCGGCGGGGAGCCCACGCACTTGCAGTCCATTTAAGATACCAGTTGTTTAAAGCTAAATTGCGGCCACTGCTAATTAAGAAATGGACGCATGTGCTTCGGTTGGACGAAACGAAAAGAAGTATTTACTGAACTCCTTACGCTTGGCACGGCGTGTGAGCGGGACAACTAGAGGATGCAGGTATATGTATATGATGTATATCGATAAATAGTTTGCCAAACTCAAAATTGCCTTATCGGCTTACGCGGTATTCAGTAGATTCGGTGTTCAGATTAACGACCACCTTATCGCCAGGGTTATCGATGAGGATTATATGGACCAGAAAATGCTACAGTGCGTATGACTAATGCGTCCCATGATTACTTCTTATGACTCAAAATTTCAATCAAAAGTGTACAAATAGTATGTGCTGAGAAGAGATAATGTGGTTAGAGTTCAGTGAGATTACCAGAATGTATCCATCTCTAACAAAAATAAACTCTAAACTCTAAAAACTCTCTCTAAAACTCTCTAAACTTCAAAACGTTATTTTTCATTGCAGCTGACATGGAAAGCATGGCAGGTAGTGTGGAGACACAGCACATGATCACGTGGTGTAGCTCCCGATGTGGCATCCACAGTTGGGGCAGTAGTGCCGTACAGTCTTGCTGTAGTTGATGAAGTAGGGAAGGCAGATGAAGGGCCAGCAGCTGGGGGGAATCGGGTAAGCAAAGATAGTTTACCCGGTGGCATCCTGACGCCCCACTTATCATGCAGATATACAAGGTCAAGGCGCACAGGTAGGTCTTGCGTGTGAGTGCCGTGACCAGTCTGGTGGTGACCTCGCCCTTGCAGGCCAGACACCTCACCCTCATCGGTTTGGTGCCCACAGTCGGCGGAAGTGACTCCGCCCCCAATGCGTTCAGGGTGTAGACGGGTATCTCGGTCACCAGCAACCCACGTCTGGCTGCGCTCTGCCCACCCAAGTGCTGCTCATGTTTGCGGCGGGGCATGCACTGAAATAGCTCGCCATTTAATGACAACACTGCTCTATCGCAATTGTTATCTTTCTGGCTAATCGACAGGTACTTTTTAACTATGACGATATGGAGGGGTACTAAAATAGTAGGCATGTGCAGCAGCGGATCGATTGACAATAGGTTCCAGTAACTCTGTGGCATTTGGCCATTTCCAGTTGTTGGCTTGATTAAGTGCCAAAAGGGTTGCTGTTTCCTAGACATCTTATGTACATGGCTTTTGATACAGTCCGAATTAGCTATTTATGATCCATTTTACTGATTAGGCTTATTAAGCGATAATAATTATTATTAAAGATTATTAAACTGCTGGCGTTGGTTTCTCGTAATGGTCGATCGAATACGTTTAGCTATTTCAGCTCAGCTCAGCTATTTCCTCAACAAATGGCGACATCAAATCATTATCATTCAAATTTCTGAAAACATTAAATTACTCTATAATTTACTAGAAGTATTCAGCGGCAAGAATGAGTAGTCCCAAGATATCTTGTCGCATTTCCATTTCCTGTGTGAGTCTCATGAGTTTAATGTTCGTATATTTACAGTTCAATTTCACTGGGCTATGACACTAGTGCTTAGGGGTTTCTATAGGTACATATATATGCATAAACAGAGGTTAGTTGGTTAGTTCTCGTAGGTGCCGATGTAGGCACTGCAGTTGGGGCAGTAGTGGTTGGCATTCTGGCAGGAGTCCATGCAGTACGGAAGACACACGCACGGCCAGCAACTGTGGATAGAGTGGAAGATCGATTAGATACACGTATGCTCGGGCGATTAAGCTATTAGTCAGAGCCCTAATTCCGAATTGGCCTTTACGACGTCTACACGCCAATATCAGTCGGTTGCTTGCTTTCACCACACTTCCAAGCCCGTTCGTTATCTGACTCAACTCCAGTTCCAGTTGAGATAACAATGTTTTCACACAGTCGCAATACCCGTACAAGCCTTTTGTTTTTTCCAGGCGATAAAGGGACGCAAGTGGTTCATGGCGTAGCTTTTTAGCAGTCAACCGAGGTATTGTAACGTGTTGGCAATAAAAAAAGTTCTAAAAGTTGTTTGCTTGGGCGATATGAAAAAAAATCTAGATTGTTAACATATGGAATATGGAATTTCTACTGTTTCTGTTCTATTGCTGTATTGCCAACATATCTTGCTTGTATTGTTATAAAGAAAAAACATTTCAATTGCCTTTTACGCAACTATATACAAAAGTTCCAAGTCATTTGACTGGATTAAGGTTAACTTTCGGAAGCACTGAGAACATTTATTTGGGTCCAAACTTCTGAGCCCCATATACTTTCGCTAGTAAGCACTGACTTCAGATCAGATGACCAGTAACTATGGTACTCACATGAACAGGCACAGGATGAGGGCCCAGCAGTGCGTCCTGCCGGAGGGAGTGGCCTTCACAGTGGTCAGTACTTCGGCGTGGCAGGAGGGACAGCGGATCCGGGTGGGCCCACTGCCGATGGGCACCAGGTTGGAGCTCGTGGTGGTATGGATGATCACCGTGGAGGCCTGTGGTGGCTGCGGCATCGGTGGGTATAGTGGTGGCTGGGTGGGACCACCGGGCTGATAGGTTTGCGCGGGAGTGTATCCGGACTGCTCACTGTACGGTGGAGGCTGCTTGCTGTCCATAGTTCCGGCTTATGTTTCTTCTTAATGTTTCTTCTCTGGATACCCGACCCAACTGAACCGCTCGCTCTGCTGGCTGTCGTTGCACTGAGGTGATCTAGACTGGAGCTCCGGCATACCTCAACGATTGGCCACAATCTTATCGCGCAGAGTTTTGATAGCTTCCATACAAAGGGGGTTTCTGTCAAACTAATAATCGAATACTTTTTTATTGTGCACTTGATTTAGTGAGCTACAGCGATGCTCCTTTTCCAACTAGAAGAAACTCTGAGTCACTATTTGATAACAGCTTTATTGCGTATAATGCTGATGAATAAGCCTACAATATATGTAATACGTGTATTTTTCCAAGAGAGAGAGTATAAACAAACACAGCTTGTCGCCTCATGTGCTCTCCCATAATATAATATTTTTGCAATTTAGCAGGTGCGTGACCGCTTTACCTATACATATGTAAGTACATATTTGATGTGAATATTTATTTCATACTAAGTGGAAATTTACATTAAATCTTAAATTGCCTAATTTGTGTCAAAAAAAGCTTATTTATTCTGTCTCATAGGGGATGTGTCTTATGTTCGATACTATTCCCTGCGAAGACCTAGGAAATTGCTTTATTATTGAAGTTAAATTAATAACAGGCTTCGATCCTCAATGGGTTAACTATATTATATTTTTGTTATAGGAAAAGCTCAGCTCACCACCCACTCGCCGGAAGCTTTGTGGAAGCTTTTCCTCATGGGATAACATGTACGTTCAAGTGCAGCCGTTAACATCGCAGCCATGAAAATAGTGTTAGGCAAATACGGGGGCTTGACAAACAGATGAACAACTGGTTTGCCTGACGCCCCTCACAGCCGCAAAAATAAAATAATTAATCCCCCTTGCCCCCAAGTGGGCAAGCCATAACTGTTTGACTTATGTTTCGTATGTTTCAATTGTAAAATAACCCAATTTATAGGCAAATAGAAAACCCGAGTCGAGTCAGTTCAACAACATGAGCCGCCAGCTGAAGTTCCAACTCCAAGCTCCCGAAGACGAGGAGCTATCAACGGACATGGTGGAGATTAACCTGAACCCCAACTGCGGCCAGGTCAAGCAGAAGTCGGCCCAGGCCCTGGACGAGCTGCTCCTGGCCACGCCCCCGCACAGAGGCTATCCCTACGGCTATGCCGAGGACTCCGAGCCGGAGACCTACTTCTGCCGGAAGAGCAACTCCACGGGCCAGCTGGCCGAGAAGGTATCTCCTCCGCCGCCGGCGGCCACCAACATCAGTTGCCTCCGCCAAATGTACTGTCCGGAGTGCCACGAGCGATTGCACGAGCAGGGGGTCCGGCTGGAGCGGCTCCTAACCATGTGGTGAGTGCAAAGCCAGGGCACTTGCTTTTTCTCCTTCGACTCGGAAACAGATCTCTTACTTTAAATATCAATTTAAAATTTAGTCGCTTTATATATATATTTATATATATTAAGTTTATATTTACTAATAAATAAGAAGTGATATTATTAGTAAATATAAACTAAATATGTGTTATGAATCTACTTATGACACATGAAATAGTAAAGTTATAGTTTAATAAATTTGTTTTAAATTTGTATATACTTTGCCGAACTAATAAATAGCTAACTAAAAGGCTTGTAATGAAAGTTAGTTAAGCAAAATACGATTATTAAAGTCAACTTGCGCTTCTTGAACGAAATCGAATATATTGTTATTAATATAATAACAAGAGTTTGAAGTTTCTATATTTCTTATTTGAATTGTTTCTGTATCGTTTCCAGCTGCTTTGCCCTGCTGCCCATCTATCCCTGCTGCCCGAGGCGCTCCACCAACGATTGCAAGGTCATCTGTGGCAAGTGTGGATACCTCTTGGGGGCATGGAAGAGACAGTGAGGGGAGGGAGAGGGGAAGGGGGTGTGGGTTGGGGCAACTGGAGTGGGTGCTCCGCTTATAATTACTTGTTTTGTTTAGTTTTAAGCACCTTTTGCTGACCTTGCGGCGAGTGATGAGCGCCGAGACTGAAGAGCCGAGTGCCAAAAAATGAAATTGTTGATTACTGCACGATTCTCTCAGTGGTTTCTCTTCAATTAGATCTCTTTGGTCAGGTAGATCTCTTTTTCGAATTTCACTGCCTTGGGATTCGCGAAAATGTTTAGCATTTGAGGCTGGCCAGTCGCAATGTCTCGGGGGAACGACTTGGATGCGGATCTGGAGGTGGATCTCCAGGAGGGGGACAGGGATAACCAGTCGGCGGCCACCACTGTCACGCTGGAGGAGCGTCCTGGCAAGCCCCAGGTGCGATTCTTCAGCATCGGACCCAGCAGCTACCAGGTGCGGTGTCCATTGTGCCAGCAGAATTCCAAAACAGAAACCGTGGAGATGACAGGAGCACTGGGCCAGCTCAGCTGCCTCCTGTCCGCCTTGTCCTGGTAGGAAGCTCTAGAATTCTGAATGGAATCTATATCCATGGACTAACGTGCACCCAACTCTTCTTATAGCTGCTTTCCCATCTTCGCCCTGACGTTCGTCTACTCCTGTCTGCAAAGTCGCCTGAAGTCAAAGCGTGTGTTCTGCAACCGATGCGGTGGTCACTTGGGCTTCCACTGGCGTCCCACTTAGTTAGCGCTCTGAAGTCCACGCAAATGATCTATAAATAAAGCGGCAGCTGTTGTCAAATTTTTTAATAAGTTACTTAAATTTATTCGATCATCACTCAGGCGGTGCCTCCAAAAAGTATGTATTCATCTCTCCCACTCTCTGGCACGCTCTTAGACTTTTTGATTGCGATGTGTACGCGAATGCAGATACGCAGATACAGATACATTATGCGAATGTTCTTGGCTCTTCGGTCAGTTGGTCTGTCGCTTCGAAATGGCCAGCACCGAGAGTCTGGACGGCAGCGCCTTCGAGGGGGACATCTCGGCCATTCCGCAGGTGGGCCACCTGACCACTGAGCCCCAGGAGCTGGAGTGTCCCGCCTGCCAGCAGTTGCAGACCACCCAGGTGAAGTCGGAGGCAGTGACCGTTCTGCAGAGGATGGCCTGCTCGCTGAATGTGCTTCTCTGCTGGTGCGTAAAGCTTGGAGATCAAGATTGAATTTATTTCTATGAAGAAGGCTTCGTGGTTCTGATAGCTTGATCGCAGCCCAAAGACTTGATCTATTCTTTATCCGCCAGTAACCCCATTCGGTGGAAGGGTCGTCATGATGTGAATCACTACTGCAGTTCCTGTGGCTGCTTCATTGGACGCGACATCACTCTGAGTTGGTACAAGAGGACTCTCTTTCGGCTGCAAAGGGGCGAGGTGGAGGACAATGGGCGCTGGCAGAGATTCCGCAAGGTGGAGAAGGAACAGCTGGACGAGAAAAAACTGGGCAGACAGCGCAAGGCCATCGAATCGAAGCGCTCCAATGAGAATTATTAAATAAATTTAAGCAATATTACGCACTAGTCTTAAGAACAATATTCCATTTGGGATCATAGTGATACTCGTATGCTGTGGATGTGGTATCCATTTTAAATCAGTTGTGAATTTTTCTAGTTGGCTCAACAGGTAGTCTCTTTTTTTTGCCCTGCTCTGCTCCCCGAAGAGTGAAAGCTTTTTCCAGCTGAGAAGTCACTTGTTTATTTGCTGGAAGAGCAGAAAATTCCAGAGAAAAAGCCTCGAAATCGCATTCTCGGTTGGATCTACGTCTATATAACCCAAAGCCCATGCAGTGGAACTGTGCAGTTTGGGCGGTGTGCATCGAGGAGTTCGCTAATATTTCGCCTCTTTTAGAAATTCTACAGTCTCAAAACCAAAACTTGCTGTTCCCCTTCGAGAGATTTTCGATATGTGGACTATTCTTCTGGCGATCCTAGCCGTGGGCCTGCTGCACAGATATGTGAGGCGGCACTACACACACTGGCAGAGATTGGGAGTGGAGGAGGAGCCGGCAAAGATTCCCTTTGGAGTAATGGATACTGTAATGAAGAAGGAACGAAGCTTGGGCATGGCCCTGGGTGATATATACGCCCGGCACGAGGGCAAAATCGTTGGAATATACATGATGAACAAGCGAAGTATACTGATCCGAGATGCCCAATTGGCTCGCCAAATCATGACCAGCGATTTCGCCAGTTTCCATGATCGCGGTGTGTACGTGGATGAGAAAAGGGATCCGCTGTCCGCCAACCTTTTCAATCTGAGAGGCGCCTCATGGCGAAATCTGCGCCAGAAACTTACTCCATCGTTTTCCTCCGGCAAAATTAAGGGCATGTTCGGCACCATCGACGATGTGGGCGATAAGTTGGTGCGGCACTTGGAGGGTGCTCTAGACCAAAGCGACGAAGTGGAGATCAAGGATGTGATGACCACCTATGCGGTAGACATCATTGGATCGGTGATTTTTGGCTTGGAGATAGACAGCTTCAGCAATCCTCAGAACGAGTTCCGTGAGATCAGCAGCTCTTCGTCAAGGGATGAATCTCTGCTGCTGAAGATTCACAATATGTCCATGTTCATTTGTCCACCGTGAGTTTTAAAGTTACCCAGTGTTTCCGTGCATCAATATGCATAAATATATAAATAATCTTCATTTGTAGCCACATTCTTTCATTAAAGACTTTAATCTTGATTCCCTCTTTGAAGGATTGCTAAGCTGATGAATCGCCTGGGCTACGAGAGCCGTATCCTGACATCCCTGCGAGACATGATGAAGCGCACAATCGAGTTCCGGGAGAAGCACAACGTGGTGCGAAAGGATATGCTGCAGCTGCTGATCCGCCTCCGAAATACGGGCAAGATTGGCGAGGACGATGACCAGGTGTGGGACATGGAAACTGCACAGTGGCAGCTGAAGTCTATGTCGATCGAGAAGATTGCCGCCCAGGCATTCCTGTTCTACGTGGCGGGCTCGGAATCCACAGCTGCGGCATCCGCTTTCACTCTCTACGAGCTGTCCATGTACCCGGAACTGCTGAAGGAAGCGCGAGAGGAAGTGGATGCAGTGCTGGTGAAGCACAAGCTGAAGCCCAAGGATAGGTTCACCTACGAGGCGGTGCAGGACCTAAGGTTTTTGGATCTCTGCATCATGGGTAAGTTTCATAGCACTCATAGTTTCTACGATCCTAAACACAAAGTATATGTTTGCAGAAACCATTCGCAAATACCCCGGTCTGCCGTTCCTCAATAGAGAGTGCACCGAAGATTACCCAGTACCCGGAACCGACCACATCATAAGCAAGGGAACACCCATACTGATCTCGCTCTTTGGCATCCAGCGTGATCCCGGCTATTTCCCCAATCCCAATGGCTACGATCCCCACCGCTTCGATGCAGACACCATGAACTACGACCAGGCAGCCTATATGCCCTTTGGAGAGGGTCCTAGGCACTGCATAGGTATGGACGTACATATACCACTGGTGCTCCCGGTCTCCTTATCTCTCTCCTTAAGCTCTTCGCATGGGAAAGGTCAACTCCAAGGTGGCCGTGGCCAAGGTGCTGGCCAATTTCGATCTGATACAATCACCTCGCAAGGAGGTGGAGTTCCGCTTCGATGCCGCTCCTGTTTTGGTGACCAAGGAGCCTTTGAAGCTGCGCTTGACCAAGAGAATGTAAATGAAATACATCTGGCATAAGCCTATACACAGAAATATTTAGGTATATTTACTAGATTGGTTTTATTCAACATCTGCCGAGCTTGAAAGCTTTCTCTCAGCTCAGTTTGCAAGCGAGAGAAACAGCAAACAAAGCGAGTTTGAGCATAAAAAACATAAACAAATGCCGAAACATAAACAATCGTAGTTATCAGCTGTTTTTGCCGGTTAAACGTGTTTCTACGAATCATAGTAGCACACTGAAAATAATTACTAGCTGCACCATTTATTCCATACATGGTATAATTCCTAATAAGGTTCTATATACATACGTTAATAAACTATTCCATTTGAAGTATCCCCTTACAGAAATAAATTCCTTAAATAATTTCGAAACGTTTTCCATGTGGTTTGGGTGCGACTGCTCTATATATTGGGTAAACAAATATTCGCCGCATGTTTGGCTGTCGATGTGGTTCTGGTTGAGGAGCCCCACACCGAATGAATATCCACCGAATAGCTGCTGATGACATCATAGCTCCAGGGTCGTTTTCGAATTTTTCTCTAGAGTGGAATCTCTCTTTGGAATGCTCTTTGCGACTGGCGGATGGGCTCTCGCTGATGAGTTTCGCTTGTTCTGGCGGAGATCAGATAGTCAGTTAGCATGGAGCAGCAGGTGGAGAGGTTACGGGTGAGACTGGTGCCCGCCGGAACGGCGGAGGAACGTGCCAGGAATATCATTGCCAATGTGATCCTGGACGATGGTCAGGTGCCCTTCATCGATGATCATGCGGCGGAGAAGGTGACGCTGATCCCCCAGCAGTCAGCATCTCCACTTTCCGCCTCCCGCCAGGAACCACCCATCCGGTACTACGCCGTTGGACCCTCCACCTACAAGCTGTTGTGCCCACTCTGCCGGGAGAGGAGTCAGGCGGCTGTGATGAGAGCAGCCAGCTGCAAGGACGCCAGTTTCTGCTTGAGCCTGCTTTCCTGGTAAGGGAATTGCCCCTGTCTAGGTTCTCGATCTTTGCACCAACTAATCCATCGTGTATTCCAGCATCTTTCCGCTCTTTTGGATCTGCTGCGTGTGCACCTGGTGCGGATGCAATCGCGAATGGACCACCAAGGGCGTCTACTGCAGCTCGTGTGGCGGCAAAGTGGGAATCCAGCGCAAGGCCAAATAGCCCATTCAGCGGACCAATTAAATCGAGAAGTAATGCCAAATATTTAGCTGTTCTATAATTCTATTACGCGTCTAACTCAATTAAAGACACACTGTAAATCAATTCAGCCCCTGCTCTTTGTGTGCTCTTCCAAAAGGCATACTCTTTGCCACACTGGGAACATACACATACAGAAATAAACCCTGTACTTCTTTAATAATTATTTGGGTACAAAATTATGCTACTATTTTGCTGACCAAAATAATTCATGTCTTTTCATCATAACTTGGGACATAAAGCAAGTTGCAGCTGGTAACCATTCAACGCAATGGGATCTAGGACTCCTATCACTCGACAAATGGTCGAAAAGTGGTCTCTTTGTTTTCCTGATTTCTCTCTGTGCACTCCCGTTCTCTTTTGAGTTTCTAAACAGGTTGCCAGCTTGTTTGGCAGCGTTTCGCTTTCAGTTCGATTGTGGAGCGATCATGACGACAACGCTGCCGAAGAAGGAAGCGGAAACGCAGCAGGAGATCAGGGAGCGGGAGGCCAAGGCTCTGGAGGATCGCAAGGAGCGCAAGATCTACGAGAACTTTGCCACGCCACTGGCAGGCACTTTCCTCAACCTGCCACACGAGCCCGTGGAGATCAAGTGCCCCGCCTGCGGCATTAAGGAGCTGAGTGTGGTGCAGAATGATCTGAAGTGGTGGGCCAGTGAAATTAACCGCATTGTGGGCTGTCTTTTCGTGTAGGTTGCTTATTTTCTCGTACTTAAAGGGCACGAAAAGTTATGAAATCCTTTTTCAGGACCTTCTGTTGCTGCTGCTGCTTCAATTACTTTGTGCCCTGCAAGCAAACCGATCGAAGTCATTACTGCGGCAATTGCGGCTGCTACTTTGGACGTTCTATGAAGAGGAGGCAACCACTCAAATTGAAGGCAACCACCGCCTAGGCATCATTGTTCGCATGTTTATTAAAATTCTTCCAAACCCTCGTGTTCCCACCCACTGCAATGCCATCAAAACAAAAATAAACCAAAAATATATTTCTCTCTCTTGTGGGTCTAATTTGTACTCTTCGTAAGTCATTTGATCATTTTATTCCCTCAATTTCTCTTCGGCTGCCTCAGTCTGCGTTCGTTTTTGAAACAGTCAACATCTTTCGGTGCTATAGCGATAATGGCTCAGGATCCGAAACCACTGTATTTTGCCGTGGGTCCCGGCCCCAACGACATCACCTGTCCCTATTGCAGGACCAAGGCCAAGACCCGTGTGGTGCGATCCTGGCTGCGTTGCTGCACCAAGAGGCATCACTGTGGTGCCTGCGGCGAGTACCTGGGCGTATACCGCCGTCCACAACTTTAGATGTCATCGGACAGAATAATTATAGCAAGAGGAGCGATGTAACTCAGTTTTGTAATGCTATTTAAATACCATAAAACACACTGTTTTTAAGCGAATAAAAATTGTAATCAAAACTTAGGCAATATTTCTTACACTGTACATCCAATGGCATTTGTAACGCAGAGAGCATAATTCATTTGATTTCCATGCGTTGACTTAATTACCAGACCAACGCCTCGGTTAAGAGCAAATGGGAGAGAGATTCTGATTTTGATCACCCATGATCTCTCCAAATTTGATATATCTTTCAGTCACCGATCGTTCTCGCTGGAACTCGCATCATGACCGCCGACGAACCGCAGATTGTGGCCATTAGTGTCAGCCACAAGCCACAAGTGGGATACTTGAAGGAGGAGCCCACCTGGATTCACTGTCCTTCGTGTGAGAAGTCTGGAACCAGTGTGTTGCAACTGGAGTTGGTCACTTGCCTGCAGAGATTTCTGGGATTCACCAAACTTTGGTTGCCCATCTGCACAGAGTTTTCGAAACCCTTCGTAATATTCAATTTATTTTAGTAAGAAGTGGTCTGGGCGCCAGGACATCAATCACTATTGTTCGCACTGCGGCTGCTTCATTGGAAGATTTGTGCCCATCAGTTGCATGGAACGGTGCATTTCGAGATCAGCTCGTAAACAGGCGGCAGTGGATGAGATGACCCTGAAGACACGACCCAAGGATTGCGCTGAACGGGCTCAGAAATCCAGGGAGAAAGTTCTGGCCAGCAGAGAAAAGAAAAGAGCCGAGAAAGCAGCCAAGGATCTGGAAAAATCCCAAACGCAAATAGCAGTACATCAATAGTCAAGTCATCAAGTGCTTCTGGCTTTAAAAACTCACAACATCGAATAAAAACATCTTTTTTCGTGTTTAGAACAGTAAAAAAAATATAATTATCTCTGTTTTATATTCTCGCTCGGCACGTATCAATGTCCTTATTGAAATCGCGTGCTAGGATTAATCTCCACAAAAGACCATTCAACATAAATGGTGATCCCTACAAGTATGCTACACCTTACACAAATAGAACCTCCGACGACGCATGGGTTCCCTACAAAGAATTTTGTCTTTTTTCAGGAAAAACGATATTTTCACCCGAACTTTCACCCACAATTGTTGCTGGGTATCATGGCAAGGGGCTTAATTAGCATTAATCACGTCGGCAATGGTAATTACCGTCTCTACTTAAAAGCCGAGATCAATGATACGTCAACGACGTTACTTGTCGATTTAGCTATTAACTCTATGTCTCTGTAACTAATAAAAAGATTATCTACAGACATTGTTTCTTTTGCGTCGCTTTCCTTTGTGAAAAACTCAGAAAAACATATTACCCATGTTACCTAATTCGAAATATAATTATTTATTTCACATTAAAGTAACTCAGAGAACACTTATCAACGTTTCAAATGTATATAACTAAGAGTGTAATTCTTATTCATTGGAAGAAATGTGATTCTGTGGTATCTTAATAAGATCCCTTTAAGATTTCTGGAAAGAAATGTTCTAAAAATAAATGCAAATATGGAATTGTGCGATTGTATTTGAAGTATTGAGAGGCTATAAAAACTCAGCACATCAGTCAACATAGTATAGTATAGTTCTGATAGGCGGTCAATATGCGATACATTCTAGTGCTCCTTATTTTTGGGCTTGTTTGGCAAAACATCCTCGCCATGAAGATCGTAAGTGCTGCTTATTATACCCGTTGCCCGTAGAGTAAAAGGGTATACTAGATTCGTTGAAAAATATATAACAGGCAGAAGGATGCTTTTCCGAACATATAATGTATATATATTCTATTCCAAATTACAGCAACATGATTCTTATGATACTGATGAAAGTATAATTTCATTTCGGTTAAAAAAAGTGGAAAATCTGTTAACCTATTTCTATGAAAAGTTATTCACAAAGGAAGTCGTTAGAGAACCGCAAACTTGGTCACATCTTACGCCGTCGATCGAATTTGAAGAAGGTGAAAATGGATTTAAAAAGGAAGTTAACTTAGCTGTTGCAGAACCTTCTCAGGGTACCACAACCATACCGAATGGAACGAATACTTACTATATTGAGAGCTCCGAGGAGCTAAGCTGGAGTGGCGCTATTATATCCTGTAAGAAAATGGGCGGTGTCCTGTTTAGCCCTCGATCCCTGAAAGTGTGGGAAACTGTGCGAATGAACTTGGATCGAAACAAAAATTACTGGACAAGCATCCGGGTGCACCCCACATACGTATCAGCAGACAGCACCGAGCATGAGGTCCCATTTCTGGAATTTGATCCGAATAGTCAAAGACAAATTACGTGCATAGAATTGGACTCACAATCGAGTCATTTAATGAACGAGGTTGACTGCAACAACAAAAACAATTATATATGCGAAATGTATAATGTATAATTTATTATAATACAAAAAATATACGATACAAATATTAAAAACTTTACCAGTAAACTCAACTACAAAAATACCTACCGAACTTTAAAAAAAAATTTAATGAATTTAAGTGAATAATAAACTATTAGTTACTTTCTTTGTTTAGCCTCCGTAACTTTTTACAATGTGCTGCAATATGTATTTCGAATTTTCCGCCAAAATGTGTGACCATCAAAAATTTGCGTGCCAACGCTGCCATCGAATGGTCACACTTAAGCATCGATATATCGATAAAAACTAGAAAATCGATATTGAGATGCAACAAAGTTTTCTTACATCACTAACAGAACCCGAAAATTTAATCGGGAAATAGCCATTGGCGACGTCGGTTGAAGAGTAAGCTGAAGCGCCCGGAATCTCTGCAACGATGAAGCTGTTCTTATCCATTTTCGTGGTGGCCCTGGTGGCCGGCATCGTTGTTGCCGACGATAGCAAGGGACCCAAAGTGACCGACAAGGTGGGTGCTCCATGGACTTTCATCCTTACATTATTCACGTGCATCTACATACCATATACATGCATACACACACACACACATCCGCTGAGCCATAAATCAAGTGAGATGATTTGTTAATAATAAACCACTTCCGATTGCGTAGGTTTTCTTTGACATCACCATTGGCGGTGAGCCCGCTGGCCGCATCGAGATCGGTCTGTTCGGCAAGACGGTTCCCAAGACGGTGGAGAACTTCAAGGAGCTGGCGCTGAAGCCCCAGGGCAAAGGGTGAGTAGGGTGCCTGACTGCCGAAAATACCCCAACCTACTAGGGTGCCAAGTACCGCTACGCCAGCAAACTGCCGCTGATTAGCGGCACTTTTCCGGTTGTAGCGGGGCTCTCAGATTGAAGCAATTACGTGGCGTTTGGGCGGCAAATCAGTTGACAAAGCACAACTCGGGAATAGTTGGCACTAATGGGTTAACAAAGAACGCCAACTAGTGTTAGGTCTATGGTACACTCTGCCAAACTATAAATGTGCAGCTAATAAGCTCATTTTATTTGTTCTGTTAATTTATGCGTGTTTTGGTTTTTGGTTAGGCTTCGAGTTCAAAACCTAGTTTAGATATATTTTAGTTTCAATTAAAATTAAGGGAACACTAAACTGATTGCCATACATCGCTCTTAACCCCGCAGCTACAAGGGCAGCAAGTTCCACCGCATCATCAAGGACTTCATGATCCAGGGCGGCGACTTTACCAAGGGCGACGGCACTGGCGGACGCTCCATCTACGGCGAACGCTTCGAGGATGAGAACTTCAAGCTGAAGCACTACGGCGCCGGCTGGCTGAGCATGGCCAACGCTGGCAAGGACACCAACGGATCGCAGTTCTTCATCACCACCAAGATGACCAGCTGGCTGGATGGACGCCACGTCGTCTTCGGCAAGATCATATCGGGCATGAATGTGGTGCGCCAGATCGAGAATTCGGCCACCGATGCCACCGATCGTCCCATCAAGGATGTGGTCATCGCCAACAGCGGCACGCTGCCCGTTTCGGAGGCCTTCTCCGTGGCCAAGGCCGATGCCACCGACTAAAAAGGTTCGGGAGCAGCCCTGTCAGCAACATAACCGATTTGAATTAAGCATAAACGCATAATCGATTTTTCCAGACATTTGCATTTACCATAGATCGCCATGTTTATTTACATTTCGTTCCGTAAGCAAGTAATTGTGCTCAACTAAAAACAGAAATGGCATAAATAAAGAATGAATTGTGTGTGATAAAGAGCTGGAATCATTCTGTGTGTCTATACCATGATGCCGGTGGTGTGCAGGTTCAATGAACCGGTTTTGGAACCCCTTCCATATCTTTCTTTTGGTTCTGACTTCCCTTAGTGGCAACCGGTTTGTGGCTTCTTCGCCAATTTGTTTGCCTTTGTATGTTCTGCCGTTCTCGATTTAGATTGCCCATGTTCTGCTCTTCTCTTTGTTGTTGATAAACAACGCTCGGTTTGTCACATTTTTCTGATTTACACACTTGCGACAATTTGAGGAATAAACCCGACGAGTTCGTTTGTGTATTTATTCAGTTTGCTTGGGTCTGCTACTAATTGGATATGATTGCATGGACAGGTGCAGGACTGTCTCTGCAGAAGTTAATCGGGTCGATAATATTTAAGACTGACTGGCTCATCTTTCCATCCAGGATGATGTTTTCCTTTTACCATTTGTAGGTTCCTAATGAAGTTTTGGCAAATTTCACATCTTTGGTCTTAATATTTCATACTATATTTATACCATACTATACTATACTGTGCTATGTATATAGAGGTGAAAGCTCGGAACCAGCCCTCTAGTAACTAAATATTTATAGCATTTTTGTCAGCTATCAGACAATGGTGAGATGGCAACTTTTACAATTAGCGAATGCACTCAAACACAACAACAACAACTAATTATGCATACTCGTATGTCAGCCAATCCTGAGACTTCACTTCCCCAATCTTTTGTTTAGAGCGAGAGAAACCATCAACTCAAGAAACGATCTCATATCGCTGAAATGTGGGGAATCATATACAAATATACGAACATATGATATGTACATATGTGCAATTGTACCCCTTTCACAGACCCCACAATCGCTGTGTATACATTAATGAAAGCAATAGGATCTATGTGGAAGGCATGTGTATTGGGGTCTGGTGGCAATCTCATGTGCCACACATGTTCCAGTGGCCACAGAAATTCTGGATGTACTTCTAAGATTATATTCCCGAGAGCAATCAGTTGAGTGTTTTGTTTTTGTGGGGAGTCAAGGCGCACGGAGCGATTAGTTCAGTCTGATTCGTATACTCAATATAACCGGAAGAGTTTACCGGCGAATGCAATTGAAATACGGCCGGAATTTAACTACAATCCCCAGCTGATAGGGATTCTATCGTTTATAATAGGGAATATGGTTGGTAAACCGATAAAAGAAGCTCAGGAAAAAGAGTCATCCAAGTTGTTTCGAAACTACTGGAAGACTGATAAGAGATTGCCTTTTATTCGGTGATGTGTACTTTCGAAACTGACCCAATTAATTGTGTGTGTGTTAAACCATAGGAATCTCAATGGAATCGTTGGATCTTACTGGCTGTTTTGGGACTAGCCTTGGGGCAGATTTCACAGGCAGCCAAGGTCCTGGTACTATTTCCCCATGTCAACGAGGGTCACTTTGCCGTGATGCGGACTCTGGTCACAGAATTGGCCAATCGAGAGCACACAGTAAGTGGAAGTGCTCCTTTTCAAAGCTATCAGATATCAAAAGAAAGTTATTCGAAACAGATTGAAGTGTATACCGGTCATGGTTTGGGAGAACCCATGGATAATGTGTCCGAAACGGTGACAGTGGAATTTCCCTTTTGGAGCGAGTGTAAGTAAGCCTCTGGAGCAGATTGGTCACAACAAATATATACATATATAAATCCACAAACAGTACTAAATCTGGCGGCGCCCAAGGGAAACCTCGCTGATCTTGG